GCACGCGATACAAAGGTGAAGCAAATGGCACTTTCCCAAACGAACCAATAATCATGCTATCCGATTACCACATATCGATATCTTACTTCCACTTTTTCACATCTTCACCCTAATGAACTCGCTATCGTCTCTGTGAGTTTCACCACTCATTTCATGACGATCATTTGAGAATGGAAGCGCCAAAAATGTTTCCAGAATCCATAAAGTTTTCATCAATAAAGTTCACGTTAAATTTTTCATTTCTTCTCAATAAAATTAAATTATTCAGATAATGTTAGCTGTTGTTTGGCCTGATGGTCATACAGCGTTCCCGGACTTTTATGATAGAACCGGTAAAACGACAAAATGGTGGATAAAAGAATTCGTCAATTTTCATGAAAAGGTTCTTGGATTCTAACATTTCATTTGGAGTTTATCATCATTCTTCGGCTTCAAAAAATGAATCTGTCGCAATACTTATTATCAGCATTTGAGTGAATGATGAGTTGAAATTTACTTTCTCATAACCTCACTGATGCGTCCAGACCTACTCCGCAACCGTCACATGAGGCATAGGAGCTCGTTATGAGATAAAGAATTTTCCCCAGTAGAATTTCATACAATTTGATGTCCGAAATGGCAAGTTTTAGACTGGAGTGGAATAATTGTTCTCCGATTGTTGAATTTCCCAATTAAATATCAGAAAATTGCGTAAAATTTGAGAGTGATGCTTAACAAATTGGGAAAGTTTATAAAAATTTAATGCAAAATGAAACGATGAAATTCAGCTGGAGTTTGATGGTATTTGGATTGATATGAATGAACCAGCCGCATTTGGTACAAATGAGCAATATCCGTGGTATTTTAATTATGCCGATCATCCAAATATCACCTCATTGAAATGTCCTCTGATTGGTGATGATAGTCGCTATGATAATCCACCGTTTAAAACGTTTAACGTTTACAGATACGGTGATAATGCTCATGTTAGTATTGCTTTCGTTATTTCACTTGCTTGAATACTCCTTTCGTTGACACAGTTTGAACGTTTATTTTGCAAGATATGATAGGACTTTCTTGGTTCTCGTTATGCTTCATAGTATGGACAAATGTCGTAGCATCTTGCGTAAGCAAAATATTTTGAATTGAAATGAACTAAACCAAAAAATTTATCGTTCTCAATTTACATTTTTTTGATCTGAAATAATGACATTTCTATTCTACACTTCTTGCGTACTGCTCTATTCTATTCTAGTGCTAGGAACAAAACAGAAATAGAACAGCTTGACTATAATAGAAACGTCACTAAACTGCCATACCGTATTTAGAACAATTTTTCTCACGTTCTTACTCTCCGTACCCCTCCTTGATCGCATCGAAGACCACTGACTCTTCTGCAGCAATCTGATTTTTCAGTCTTATTAGTCATTCCATCTCGCTTTGACAGTTTATTGCATCGTTGCAAATAATCAACACAAAATCGAGAAATCGAATCAGTGATCGTGAATTGTCAAGAATCCTTATCAAAAGGAGCACTTTTTCATGATCGAAAATTAATTCAAAAATATCCTGCTACGGCTATGTAACATTTGTGGAGCAATCAATCAAAATGATTCGTCAACCTCCTCCCTTCCTCCAGCCATCTTCAAACTCCTCCCGCCCTCCAAATAACAACCACTGCACTAGAGCGAGGACACTGAATTGACACAATAAAATTCTTCCGAACATAAAATCACCAGTAATTTTAAGATGCTTTTTTGTAACCTTAATCAATCAACAATCACGATCGATGTTTGAAAAAGAATCAGAGAGAGTGAAGTACGATCGAAGGGAATTTTAAAATTTTCCATCGAGATTTTCTGCGATTCAATGAGCAGCACAAAGTATAAAATACTTCACTGCACCAATGAATGCAGCCATTTACCTTTTTTCAACACGAAAACCATAACTTTAAAAAGTCTCTGCAGTTA